AGTTTTGATAATTTAGAAAACCTAACTCAAACTTCAACATTTAATTTCAAAAGCAGACGTAAGTAATGATTATGTTTGACAAAATATTAAGTTAGTTGAGCTTTCAACAAGAAGCTATTCGTCTACTTTAAACCCAGCTTCGGGGTATATATATATATATATATCATGTAATCTGAGGAACCAGGAAAAATCTCATTCCTGGGGAAATAAAATATAATCTATGGACCCTTAAGGTTGTCTCTTTTTTTAAATTAAACAAATATTCGCTCTGTTTTTACATTGAGCTCTCTCGATTTCATCCTCCTGGGGATTATACATACGGTTTGACAAACATTTCATTAACTAACTAACTAGCTATATATATATTCCTTACTCTGTCCTAGACATTGAGTTCTACCTGGATCCTTCCTCTTGGAAAATTTTTTTTTTTTTTTTTTCTGAAAATATACATGTATGAAAATTTTTTATATATATTTTGTATATGTATGTATTATTTATATATATATATATATATATATATATATATATATATATATATATATATATATATATATATATATATATGTGTGTGTGTGTGTGTGTGTGTGTGTGTCTGTGTGTGTGTCTGTGTGTGTGTAAATAAACAGAAAAATACAGACAGATTAAGAATCCTCAGTTCTTAGCATTTACTTTTTTTTTTTAAAAAGTGCTCGATACGACGTAGATCAAAATATTATAATATTTTTATTATAATATTTTTTATCGTTACACAAAATCTTTCATGTTTCGTAACTATAATGTACCTTCACTGGGCGATGGAAGATAACTTATGATGAAAATGATTTACTTGAGAAACTAGAAAACAAATCATTACCTCATTTGAAAGTTAAAAAGGAGTGGGAAAACCCCTAATTTCTAAGTTAAAAAACATACTTGTGGACATGTCAGGATTAACCAATCAAGATACAGATCTAAGCTAAAAGGGGAAATGAAAAATATGGTCAAAGTGTATAGGTAGGTGGGTTATTAATTCATGTCTAGATAAATTGACATTTTAGGCACGTCCAACAGCAGACAAACTGTTGCAAACATAGTTTAGGTAAGGTGAAGTAAGGGTTATATTAAAAAAAATGTTATTTTTAAGGAATTTCAATGTTTTTTATACTACAAAATCTTCTTAAAGGGGTCTCTAGTATAATTTAAATATTTTTTTTATATATATATGGAACCTAAAATTCTATGCTTATTATATCGAATGGGTAATGCAACAAGGCAATATTAAAGTTGGGCAAATCAAAGAATTAATTAAATAATATGAAGACTATTATATACTAAAAATATAATAGATATGTAATTGCAATGCGGAATTTTTTAAAAATTCTTTTAACTATATTTTAAAGTAAACATTATACAAGGCCTACAAATTACTGTTAATTCATTTCTTTGATTTAGAAGAACATTATTTTTAGTAAACTTTATAATATGTAAATCTTCACGTAAACATAGGAGACTTGAGCCATTTAAGAATTTACTGATTCTTGTTTTTTTTTCTAATATTCTCCATGTTACAATACGGTTTTAGTAATTTATTTTAAATGCCAAAAATATTTAGAAAAGGATGTTCGATTATGGTACGCATTGTCATTGAAAAAAGATATGTGCTGATGCCACCTCTGTTTAAAGGGGCTTTTTGTAGTACCAATATAAAATTTCTTAACAGTCCGATTTTCACTAGATGAAATGGTACATTGGTAAACAATAGATTCAGTAAGACACCTATTTTGCAATGGACAAATGTTAGGATTTCTGCAATTACACAATTTATTACCATTATTGATTTCAGTTTTGGAATTACGATTGTTACTTTGACTTAAGGGTTGATTTAAAATTTTATTATGTTATGTTAATAATGTTTTCTAGATTATCTGTACATCTGTAACTTAATCTAAGCGCATTTTTATTGAAAATCTTGCTTAGAGGATTATTACTTGCGAAATGTTCCTCAATCAAACTGAGAAACTTATATATATATATATATATATATATATATATATATATATATATATATATATATATTTTAGTTTATGCAAAACTAGGTAATCCGTATGGATAGACCCAAGGAGGATGATATCCAGAGAGATCAATGTAAATTCAGAGCAAATATGTTTGAATAAAAACAGACCACTTTAAGGTTCCATGTAATAAGTTATTTCACCACAGCCCTTTTAAATGATCCAGAGCCCTTTAAAAGGGCTGTGGTGAAATAACTTATTACATGGAACCCTAAAGTGATCTGTTTTTATTCAATATATATATATATATATATATATATAAACATATATTGTTAAATATAACAGACAATGAATGTCTGTTATATTTGATTATGAGCCATTCTAAACCCCGTATATTTGCTTTAATTGCGGGTGAAAATAAAGATAAAAATTCTCCAATATTTGGATATATTTTTTTATTATGCTGTTCCTTGATCTAAGATTTCGGCTCACATGAGCCATCTTCAGAGTGATTATACGGATATTTAAACAAAGATTTTCACAATCATAGATGATATTCTGTTATGTTGACATAGAAGATTTTACTATTCGACGATAACGGTCGCGGAATAGCAGACGCAGGTCGGAAATTCATGAAGCTGTTCTATGAGGTCGTACCACGTGATAGACCGAAATATTAACAACAGAACCATATGTCTAGATCCAATGTAATGTGTTGTGACTAGTTTGAAATGTAATTTTGTTGAGTGTGGGTTGCATTGTTCTAATGTAGATGACCTCCAGTATAGAACCGCATCATGAATTTACGACACGCGTCTGCTATTCCGATATATCAGTCTGGTATTTGAGGAGTTTTTTCAACGGGCAGCAATAGAGGCGACAAAAAATCACATTCTGGTGGTGATATCTGATAAGGTTATTTATTGCCACTTCCTTAAAAGTCCCAACGTACTTTCTTTACACATTGGCTTGCCTTTCATTCCTACCTAAAGAGGCCTACCACATGTAGTCGAAAAGCGTTGTCTGTAGAAACTTTGTTTACTCTGCAATATCCAAGTGGTTTAATTATCAAATTCCCATTCAACTTGTATTCTTCATGTCGAATTATGGCAAAATGAAGAAGAACAAAAGCAGAGTTTGTTTAACAATTTGGAAAGCTGCGACGGTGATTATCACCATTCTTTCAATATTTCCGATGTGCAAAAGGATCTCCCCGATCACCCTAAGGAAAATTTGACTGAAGAGGTGAAGAATTTCCGTTTACTGCGTGTTTTAAATTCTCTCATCTCTTCTGGTGTCCATGTTGTTATTGTGGTCTGCACTGCGTCAGCTGGACTCTTTAAGTGAATGACTCGCTATGTTAGGTGTTTTCGGGACAGGAATCTATCAATGATTACGAACAAAAGAATGCATCTTTTCATCAGTGTCAAGACTGGGCCCATCAGGCGATCAGCATTCAAAGTTGAAAGAGAGTCCACCAAAGATGATGCAAGCAGTAATCAATAGGGATCTATCTTGTCCAGTCGCTAGCTGTGACCTCTTTCTCAGCTAGCGGTTGACGATATAGAATTCGTACGGTTTCCAAAATCGGTTAATCCTTGCGTGATCTAGTGACAGATACTTGTTCATATACACAGTTTAGTTAGTTTTATCTATCTATCTATCTATGGTGATCTCTCTTTCTCTAATACTTTTTATATCTAATTCTATTAAATCTATCTATCCATCTCTGTCTTTTCATATCTATCTATCTAGCTATGGTAATCTCTCTCTTTCTCTAAAATTGTTATATCTAATTTTGTTAATATTTATCTATGGCGTCATATCTATCTATCTATCTATCTCTAATATTGTTTGTATCTAATTCTGTTAATATCTATATATCTATGACGTCATATCTACCTATCTATGACATCCTATCTATTGTCGCGGTCGCCGATTATCCGCTCCTTACAAAGCCGACCTTGACCTTCACAACTCTCGATCTCGCAGATCTAGGTCAAGCAACAGGCCAGAAACCGGACGGCTAGTCCAATATCGTTGATGTCAAACCATACCTAGTACGCATCTGACTATGCTGAGCCATTCTAAACATCGGCAACCATAGACTATAATTTATTATCTACGGCCTTCTACTCCTCTAGCCAGGGAGTACTTGAACAAATCTTTGCAAATATCCTTAGACACTTTTTTTCGCCCAAACTAGGCAGCTCGGCCCGGAGGCCTGGATCAAAGTGTAGTACACTACCTTTGTGAACTTCCGGTGCTTTTGTCGAGAGTGTTACTCTTCGGCGCGATCCCGTCTCCACGGTCGATCCGCCCTGGAAGGTGTAACACCTCTCTGACCTACCTCGCCTGGTGATACACTTTGGCGCGATCCCGTTCCCGCGGTCGATCCGCCCCGTGAAGTAGCATCACTGGTCTGCCTTGGCCCTGTTTAGGGACTCCGTCTTCGCATTTCGGCCGAACCAACTACGTTCGCCGACCAATCCTAAACTACCGGGCCAGACCAGCTACTTTCGACCAGACCAGCTACGCTCACCTACCAATCCTAAACTACCAGGCCAGACCAACTACATTCGACCGGACCAGCTACATTCTACCGAACCAACTACGTTCGCCTACCAAACCCTAAACTACCGGACCAGACCAGCTACAATCGACCGAACCAGCTACGTTCGTCGATTAACCAGTTTTCGGACCACACCGATGTAAATGTGTGAATAAAACGACACCTTTGTTCATAACAAAAACCTTTGCCTTTGTCCCGTCATTGTCTTGGCTGTTCACATTTATCGTATACCCAAAAACCTTGCGGGGCGACATCCTACTCGGCCCCGCAACAAATGGTGACTTCCCGACGTGAGACAGCTAAGCGATGATGGAGTCGGCTAAAAGTGATTCTTTGGACATGACGGCTGCGATCATACCTCTGCCTGCATACCACCATAATGCCAAGAACTGGTTCTTTCTGCAGGTGGAATCCATCTTTCAATGCTACGCATTGCTTCACAGCGAGCCAGATTCGCGAATGTAATGCAGAAACTCCCATCTGATATGATGGACGAAATTTCTGATGTCCTCTCTCCGATTTGCGCGAGCATGAACCGTACGATCATTAAAGGAAGCAATCCTCAAGCGAACCGGACGTTCCGAGGAAGATATGATCCAAGAGATACTGCGGAACGTCACTAGAGGCGACAAAACGCCATCCCAGCTTCTCAGATATATGAGGAACCAGCTGGGAAAGCACAACGTATCAGAAAAGGTTCTTCGAGGTTTATGGCTGGAGCATTTGCCTAAATCTGTTGCACAAATCATCGCACCAATGACGAGAGCCACGCCTCTGGATGATTTGGCAGAATCTGCTGATCTTGTTTTTGCACAGTTCGACCACAGCGTTAACGCTGTTCGCGCCCCGACATAGCGAAGCACGAACGCTACGAGCCTAGTAAAAACGGAACGGGCGTTGGCCGACCTTCAACGGCAAATTCAGGGCTCCAGATCTCCCTGCGCCCGCGGACGAGGACATCGACCCCATCTCGACGGAGACGAACCCCAGCCGAGAACGGCGAAGCGACCAGGGTGTTTGTTGGTTTCATCGCACATTCGGCGATGAGGCCAGGAATTGTAAACCTCCTGTACACACCGTCGGCCCAGGGGAAAACGAATAAACCGGAGAGTCGCGACGACTAACTCTTCCGGTGCCAACACGCAATGTCGTCTATTTTACGTTTGGGATCGACGGAACAAGTTGAAATTCCTGGTGGACACAGGTGCGGCCATCAGCGTGGTACCCCTTCAGAACGACCACACCGCTAAGCCCACCCTGATCAAACTACGAGCAGCGAATGGTTCCGCGATAGACACGTACGGAGAAGGACCCTTACTTTGAATATCGGCATGCGACGCGATTTCGCGGACATTTACCGTGGCCAACGTGAAGGTCCATCCTCGGCGCGGATTTCCTGGCGCATTACGCACTGGCGGTCCATATGAACCCTTGTCCGATACGACGACGAATCTCCGTGTCTTAGGTACCCCCACGTCAAGGCTCCACAGGAATCAGCGTCGCAACATGCCATGGTCGCGAGTACCGATCTCCCTGACGCAGTTCACGGATATAACGCTGCCACTCCAAGTAACGGCTTCAGGTGACCATCAGACTCAGCACCACATCAGAACCCGAGGTCCTCCCGCACCTCCCATCCGCGACGACTCGCTCCGCACAAACTGGCGTACGCCAAGGAGCAATTCGACAAAATGCTCAGTGATGGCATCATTCGTCCTTCCGATAGCCCTTATGCCTCGCCACTACACTTAGTGCCTAAACCTGGTGGTGAAAAGAATTTCGGATATGCGTCGACTACCGGAAATTGAATGCATCGACCATACCAGACCGATATCCTGTCCCTCATATCCATGATTTTGCATCCGGATTGATGGGGCTCGCATCTTCTCGAAAATCGACCTGACAAAGGCATACCACCAGATCCCCGTCGCTGCGGAAGACGTCCCAAAACGGCAGTCACAACACCGTTTGGCCTATACGAATTTCTAAAATGCCGTTCGGTCTACGTAACGCTGCCCAGACCTTCCAACGACTCATAGACGAAGTCCTGCGCGGACTTCCGCATGTATACGCCTATATCGACGACATCTTGGTGGCCAGTACAGACGCCGATTCTCACAGACAACACCTGCGAGAAGTCTTCCAGCGACTCTCGCACTACGGCCTGAAGTTGAACCTGGACAAGTGCGTTTTTCAGGGCGCCCAGCGTTGACTTTCTCGGGCACCGCACCGACGCAGACGGCATAGCACCTCTGCCAGACAAGATCAGCTCGATCCGGGACTTTCCTACACCGACGTCCATGAAGCAATTGCGACGTTTCCTCAGCATGCTCAATTTTATCGTCGGTTCATACCAAATTGCGCTACCATCCTCCAGCCACTGACGAACCTGCTGCAGAGAAGAAACAAGGACATCTCTTTGGAGGGAGATGCTCTGCACGCATTCCATACAGCGAAGGCTGCATTGGCGAATTATACCAGGCTCTCGCATATCAACGACGATCCAGAGACACGACTATTCCTGACAACCGACGCATCCGACGCTGGTGTGGGCGCGGTGGTTGAGCAAGAGTTCAACTCACAACGCGAACCCATCGCATTCTTTTCAGCCAAAGCTTTCGCCAGCCCAGAGAAAATATAGCACCTTCTCCCGAGAGCTGCTGGCCATTTATCTGGCCGTCAGGCATTTCAGGCACTTACTGGAAGGTCGAGATTTTACCATCTATACCGACCATAAACCGTTGACAACCGCGATGAGTAACAACTCTGACAAGTATACAGCTCGCGAGATCCGGCATCTCGACTACCTGTCACAGTTCTCGACCGATATTCGTCACATAAAGGGAAGGACAACGCCGTCGCAGACACATTATCGCGAGCGGAAATTCAATCTCTTCAGACCGGCGTCTTGGGTCAAGATTCCATAGCCGCTGAACAAAATCCGACCCACGCTGCAAGACGTCCTTTCGAATACTTCTTTAAAGCTTCGGGGTTCCATCATCCTTCAGCGACGACACCCTGTACTGTGACACCAGCCCTAGCAAGCCCTAGGCCCCACATCCCACCGACACTTCGGAGACAGGTATTCCAACATTTCCACGGGCTGTCTCATCCAAGTAAGCGAGCTACGGTCAAACTTATTACCGACCGATTCGTTTGGCCCAATATGAATGCGGACATTCGAAATGGGTTTCCACGTGCATGGAGTGCCAGAAGTGTAAGGTCCACCGACACACTAAATCCCCCCGTCGGCACCTTCAGCAGTCCCGATGCACGGTTCTCACACATACATGTCGACTTAGTGGGACCGCTTCCGATGTGTCAGGATTACCAGTATCTTTTGACGGTTGTGGATCGTTTTTCGCGGTGGCCGACCGCCATACCTATAAAACACTTCTGCTAACACAGTCTCTAGGACCATCCTGAAAGAGTGGATTGGAACTTTCGGCGCCCCACGTTATCACGACCGACAGGGGTCACAGTTCAGTCGTCCCTTTTCGGGAGTTTACCAACCTACTTGGCGCCAAGCACATAAAGACTACCGCTTATCATCCGTGCGCCAACGGCTTAGTTGAGAGGTTTCATCGGTCCCTAAAACCTCCCTGGCCACTAGACCTGACACTATCAATTGGTGGACGACCTACCTTTAATTCTCCTAGCATTGAGGAACACCGTAAAGGAGGATTTAGGTTGTTCACCCGCCGAACTGGTTTTTCGGTACACCTCTTGCGCTACCCGGCGAATACTTCGACGACTCCTTCAGACGTTTTCAAAACCAACATCTCCTTTCGTCGAGGAACTCCGCCACAAAATGGCCCGGCTTAAATATGCAACTCCACGACAGCAACCGGTGAATTCGTACATCCCTCAACACTTGCGAGATTGCAAATTCGTTTTTCGTACGGAACGACGCCGTGAGAGACGACCACTCACGCCGGCATACCAAGGTCCTTTTCAGGTTCTTCGACGCACCGACAAGCACCTTACGATCAAGCGCGCCAACTCGACCGACACCATCGCAATCGATCGGACCAAGCCTGCTTTTCTGGAGAAGCGACAGTATGACGCAAACCCGGCTCTGCGGCCCCTAATGCTATTCCAGCGCACCCATCAGACGCAGCACCGCAGACATCAAACGACACCCCAGCGACTCCTGTGCGGCAGACCCGATCCGGTAGGAGGGTCACTTTCCCTAAAGACCTTCGTAAATATTATTATTATTAATTGATACGATCAATTTTCTAGGGAAGGGCCTTGTCGCTGTCGCCGATTATCCGCTCCTTACAAAGCCGACCTTGACCTTCACAACTCGATCTCGCAGATCTAGGTCAAGCAACAGGCCAGAAACCGGACGGCTAGTCCAATATCGTTGATGTCAAACCATACCTGGTACGCATCTGACTATGCTGAGCCATTCTAAACATCGGCAACCATAGACTATAATTTATTATCTACGGCCTTCTACTCCTCTAGCCAGGGAGTAAACAAATCTTTTGCAAATATCCTTAGACACTTTTTTCGCCCAAACTAGGCAGCTCGGCCCGGAGGCCTGGATCAAAGTGTAGTACACTACCTTTGTGAACTTCCGGTGCTTTTGTCGAGAGTGTTACTCTTCGGCGCGATCCCGTCTCCACGGTCGATCCGCCCTGGAAGGTGTAACACCTCTCGACCTACCTCGCCTGGTGATACACTCTGGCGCGATCCCGTTTCCGCGGTTGATCCGCCCTGTGGAGTTGTATTACTGTGCTGCCTGGCCCTGTTTAGGGACTCCGTCTTCGCCTGGTGATACACTTTGGCGCGATCCCGTTCCGCGGTCGATCCGCCCCGTGAAGTAGCATCACTGGTCTGCCTTGGCCCTGTTTAGGGACTCCGTCTTCGCCTGGTGATACACTTTGGCGCGATCCCGTTCCGCGGTCGATCCGCCCAGTGAAGTAGCATCACTGGTCTGCCTTGGCCCTGTTTAGGGACTCCATCTTCGCCTGGTGATACACTTTGGCGCGATCCCGTTCCCGCGGTCGATCCGCCCAGTGAAGTAGCATCACTAGTCTGCCTTGGCCCTGTTTAGGGACTCCGTCTTCGCATTTCGGCCGAACCAACTACGTTCGCCGACCAATCCTAAACTACCGGGCCAGACCAGCTACTTTCGACCAGACCAGCTACGCTCACCTACCAATCCTAAACTACCAGGCCAGACCAACTACATTCGACCGGACCAGCTACATTCTACCGAACCAACTACGTTCGCCTACCAAACCTAAACTACCGGACCAGACCAGCTACAATCGACCGAACCAGCTACGTTCGTCGATTAACCAGTTTTCGGACCACACCGATGTAAATGTGTGAATAAAAACGACACCTTTGTTCATAACAAAAACCTTTGCCTTTGTCCCGTCATTGTCTTGGCTGTTCACATTTATCGTATACTTAAAAACCTTGCGGGGGCGACATCCTACTCGGCCCCGCAACACTATCTATCTATCTATCTATGTCTATGGTAATTTCTCTCTTTCTCTAATATTGTTTGTATCTAATTCTGTTAATATCTATATATCTATGACGTCATATCTACCTATCTATGACATCCTATCTATCTATCTATCTATGGTAATCTCTCTCTTTCTCTAATATTGTTTATATCTAATTCTGTTAATATCTATTTATGACGTCATATCTATCTATCTATCTATCTATCTATCTATCTATCTATCTATCTGTGTCTGTGATAACAACAACAACGATGATGACAATAGTCCGAATGTAAACAATGTAATAACAAAATGACTTTTTTGAAACTAAAGCCCTCGAAATCTACTTTTTCTCCGGGTTCGAAAATCCAGTACCAACGCTGAGGGTAAAATAATAACCGTTCATCCCCGACATTCAAACAGAAAAGCATTTTGTCACTTGAAAGTCAAGAACTCTCTACAATAGAAACAATAAAAAAAAAATGCTCACCGTTTTATTTTTAAGCTTAAAATTCTTTACTAACAAGGATTCTTCTCTAAGTTGACCACACGAAGACGAATTAAAATATCGAAAGGCGTCTTCGAAATGATCAAGTATTAAGAAATTGTTAGACATTTTTATGACGGTCGTCTTCGAGTATAGAATCCAGAGGTTGGCAGTGAATATTTCGGAGACAGTAGGAAAGCTTAGTTTAGGTTCGCAATGGATATCACAGCAGAATGTAGTTCTTCCTTCTGTCGTGTTCGCCTGACAAGTTGGCTCTGGTCCTTCCGGTAGGAAAAAACAAAGATGGCCGCCTTTATACACGACGGCTACAATGTTCTGCGGCTTCTGATTGGTTAATCTTCTATTGGTAGACTATAAAGGGAAATAAGTCATTTTGACTCGCTCACTAGTTACATACACATATACACAAAAAACTGTAACAGAAATAAGAAAATTCACTGAAAAAAATGTGCGTTGAATTGCTGTGTAATATCGACCCACCGAAACAGAAAAGAATACTACATAATTTGCTGAGGATATCATGGATAGAGTATTTCA